GGCGCGATCTCGGCTCACCGCAACCTCCGCCTCCTGGGTTCAGGCAATTCTCCTGCCTCAGCCTCCTGAGTAGCTGGGATTACAGGCACGCGCCACCATGCCCAGCTAATTTTTTGTACTTTTAGTAGAGACGGGGTTTCACCATGTTGACCAGGATGGTCTCGATCTCTTGACCTCGTGATCCACCCGCCTTGGCCTCCCAAAGTGCTGGGATTACAGGCTTGAGCCACCGCGCCCGGCCTATGTTTCAATTTTCATACAGTAGTTTCATTTCATAGAGAAATGAAAAGTGAAAACTTTCTATGAAAGGGACCTTGAGCCTGAGATATACTGCAGATTCTGAGCACTCATCTTTCTGTCACCCAGGGACTCGCCAACCCACAGCATTAAATTACAAAGACCAGCATCACAGCTTGGATTCTGACCCTCTCATTGCCCTCAAGAGATCAAGCGTCGTCATGTAGGAGATTATTGCAGCTCCAATGCAAGTGTAGGTATAGCTATTTCCTGCACTGTCACATCCCAAGTCCTGACTACCCAGGGTCTGTTTACTACCAACATATTTATGTAGCCAATCAAGAATTCAGAGTTGCAATTTCATCTCCAAACTGGGTATCTACAGATCACTGTCCAATTCAGCTTCTCTAGTACATGTAAGCTGGTTAGTTTTCCAGTACCATAGTCCTTGCTAGGACCACACAGCTGAACAAACCGAACTCTCCTTCCGTATAGTTTGCTGAGGTCAGAAAACTGTGCTGGACCTCATGTTCAGAGAAGGTATTATTTAACTTATTGCTTTCCCAGGTTTTCAACAAGATCAATTATTACAGTTATCACTGATATATGCAAACTTCTAAACAAGGGGCACTGTTTACCTCAGAAACATGAAAGAAAATGAGCACTGTGGAGTATACTTCTCTGGGACACACTGATGCACCCCATTAAGTCATGGAAACCAGCTCCCTACACAGACCCAGGCTCCATGTTGCCCAGCACAGATAGTGCCTTATGGAGTATTACATAATCCCTAAAAAAAGGCAGTATTTTAGCGAAAAAATGCTTAGTGACCTGACCAGCCCATGAGAATGTTGTGTATGGTTAATATCAATTATACTAATGTAACTCTACTAGGATGTTTTTGATATTATTGAAAAGGGAGGAAGCAAAAAAAAAAGGAAACAAAGGATAATGAAAGCCTTGGATGATTTACCAGCTAATTAATGCCTCACAATGCTATTAACAGATATCCTTCACAAAACCAATTATCTACTTAACTACAGAAAAAAATACAAAAGAAGCCATAAAAAGTAAATTTATTCAACCCTAGATGTTACCTTTGGAGTGCATCCTTTTCTTCTGCCCAGGGAATGGAACAGGTAAGAATGCCAAATCAGCATTTCTTTGGGAAGGCAGTGAGAATTCCATGCAATTCCAAAATCACGTCAAGGTACAGGGAGCATCACAGGAGTTCTGAGACAAAAGCTTCCCAAATGAATGATTCCTGACAACAGTTTGTAATTAATTAGCCACAGTCACTTGACTACCCACATAACTAGAGAATCTGCTTGTTGCTTATAACAGGGTTAGTATAGAAAATCAGCCCCCTGAGTATTACTAAAATTAAAATCTTTCTTAAAATACACAATGACTCAATGAAGGAATATAGCTGTTAGCCAATAATGTCTATTTAAATTCCTAGAATTAGAAATTTCATAATTTCACATTAAAATATTTAATGAAGCATCTAATTAAATCCATCGTCTAACGTTTAGAAAATTGCTTCCTGAGTGACAGGAAAAAGAAAAATATTGTTCTAATCCTTGAAAGTGGGTTAGCAAGCAAATTACAGCATGCAATGAGATGATATGAATACAACCTACTCTTCAATTTTTCATATATTTCTTTTAGTGAAAAAGTAAATAATAAGCAAAGACTAATAATTTCTTTCTAATTGACTAGATAATATACCTACACATGATCATCCTTACTAAGAATATTGTGGCATCTAAAAAATAGTGTGAATGATTCAAGTGCTGGCACAGCCATTTCCACAATGTAAACTCCTCTGATGCTACTGCCCCAGAGCCTGAATACAAGGTGTCTGAATGCTGCCAGCCATGCACTTAAATCATTGTCATGTAATCCCCAAAGACACACAGGCCTCTGTACACTTCATTTGCTCTAACATATGCGAGAGAGTTAGTTTTCCAATTCCACAGGCCTTTTTGGTACCGGATGCTGACCAAACAATACGTTCCACGTGTTTCCCTGGTATGTGCTGGACCTCAGCTCAAAGAAGTGTCTTGGTCACTCATTTTGTTCAGATTTCCAAGGTTTCCATTTTTTTAAGTCATCATCGATCCAGGCACATTTATAAAAGGGACCCTGAGCCTGAGATATAACTCATCTTTCTGTCACTCGCTAACCCACAGTATTAAATTACAAAGACCGGCATCAGCGCCAGTGAACAGACCCATGACTGACTAGCACAGTGAGGGGTATCCTTGTCATTAGAGTGTCACGACTCGCCGTAAGAAGAATGTCAGTTGCTTTCAGGACAAAATGCTTACCAATATTAGAATTCCCCCAGCCCTTGAGAATGGGAGGGCAGAAGGATTTCCATTACTTTTCTTCACGTCACACCTCAAGTAGAAGGAATAAACTCTTTTATATAAAATCTAGTTCTTGTTCCACATTCACCTTTGAAAATAGAAAAAAATATAGAAAAGTAAAAAATGTAAATGTACATTTGCCAACCATGCAAATGGTGTATAAATATAACAGGTTTATTATGCACAAGTATATAAAATATACTAAATTATTTCTCCACTAGGGTGTCCTAATGTTATTAAAAGCAGAGGAAGTATAAAAATACTAGTAGACAAAGGAGACAGAAACCTCAGATGACTAACCAGATTAGTAGGGCTCACACCGTTTGGATTAACAGACTGTTTGAAAAACCAATTATAATCTTAATTGCTAAAATAGAATAATAGAAATAACCCAGGAAAACACACTTGCTAAAAATTGCAATATTACCTCTGAAGTGCATTGTTCTCACTGCCAGACAAGGAATCTGGTACATGTGACAAAATAAGCAGGTTAGTGGAGCAGTAGTTATAATTTGTAACTCTTGGAAATGTTTTAAATGTTATTCAAAGTACAGAGAAGAAAACATCTTAAAAATGAAGGAAACGGATGCTTCAGACAGCTCATCAGGTTAATAATTCCTAATAGTCTGTATTAACCTATTATTCACAAAACCAAATGACTGACAGTTTTAAAAATAATAAAAATAAATTTACTAAAAATCAGATACTACCTCAGGAGTGTGTTGTTCTGTTTCTTTCCAAATTAGTTAGCTGGTACAAATGACAATATCAGCCCTTCACTGGTTCAGTGGTAAAATTCCATGGAATTGTAACTCACCCAATCTACAAAGTGTAGCAGAAATTAGGGAAGTTATATAACAAAATTTGTCAAATGGAATATTTAGTTACAAGCAAATATAAGAATTCACACTAGACATTCACTCGACCATCCAACGAGTGACAAGAAAAATTATTCTTCCATCTTTGACCACTATAAAATATAAGCTTTTTATCTGAGACATTAGTCTCAAAGCTTCCCTGGCATGCCTAATCAAAGTCATTTATTACAATGAGGATATCTCTTCAAACGCAATGGAAACCTTTGAGGATGTATGAATATAGCCAATGAAATCTATGTAAAAAAGAATTTGAAATATAATCTAAGTTTATTTGAGGCAGCATACAGTTGAAGCCAGCAAAACAGTGGTTTGCTTTTTGATAAGAAAAAATAAAATCTAAAAAACAAGTGTGACAATCCTAGTGGCTGAATTGGCAAGAAAATTAAAATACACTAGAATATTCTACATAGAATACCCTTTTTTCAATTTCCATGTAATTGTTTCACCTAGCTGAAAATAAAAAGTAAGACCAGGAGCAGTGGCTCATGCCTGTAATCCCAGCACTTTGGGAAGACGAGACGAGTGGATCACCTGAGGTTGACAGTTGAGACCACCCTGGTCAACGTGGTGAAATTCTGTCTCTACTAAAAATATGAAAATTATCCGGGCATGGTGGCATCTCAGGCTACCTGGAAAGCTGAGGTGGGAGACTCTCTTGAACCTGGGAGGCAAAGGTTGCAGTGAGCCAAGATCATAGAACTGCACTCCAGCCTGGGCAACAGACTGAGACGTCGTCTCAGAAAAAAAGGAAAAGGAAAATCTCATCATATCTTTGGATTTGGATGTTGACCCTCTCATTACCCTCAAGAGACTGATCATCAACTAGAAAATTCTGCGAGCTCAGACAAATGTGTGAATGGCTCAAGGACAGGCACAATAACGTCCATGAGTCTCACTATGTCCTGGTTCCCAGGGTCTATAAACTGTTTCTATAAATGCTGCCAACCAAGTACAAAGAGGGTTGCTATGTCAAAAAACAGCTGGATATTTACAGACCTGAGAACAATTCATTTGCTCTAACATATGTGGGTCAGTTCGTTTTCCAGTACCCCAATCCCTGTGAACTCCCTCTGCATGTCTGCCTGGCATAGTCCCAGTGCTGGACCTCAGCTCACAGAAGTGGCACAAAAATGATTTGGTCACTCATTTTGTTCAGATTCCGATGAAATCCATTTTTTAAATAGTCATCATCGATCCAGGCACATTTTTAAAAGGGACCTTGAGTCTGAGTTATGTGGCAGACACTGAGCACATTTGTCACTCTGGGACACACTGACTCATGCTATGCAATCATGGAGACCAGCATCACAGTCAATGACCAGCCCACAGTGGATTAGCACAGCCAGGGTCTCATGGTCACCAGAGTGGTACAATTCCCCATGCGGATATGTTGGTATGCTCAGGACAAAAGGCTTACCAGTATTAGAGTTCCCACTGGCCCTTGAGGATGGGAGGGCAGCATTATTCCCAATACTTTCCTTCTTGTCTTGCCTCAAAGGGAAGGATAAATTAATCCATATGAAACCCAGTTCTTGGTCTATGTTGTTCTGTAGGAAAAGAGTATGTATATGAGAATCTGAGAAGTACATATAGACATTTTTTAGCCTTGCATAAGACAGGATGTTTCATATATTATTCAAAGTAGAGAAAAGTATAAAATCTTTTAAAAAAGGAGATTGATGCCTAGCTCATCAGAATATTAATGTCTGAAACTGTTAGTATTAACGAACTCTTTATAAACCGAAATTCTTAATTACTTAAAAAAATAAAAAGGCATCACAAAAATAAATTCACTGAAAATTGGATGTTACCTTAGATGTGCATTGGAGTGCTTCCTCACAGCTGTGTTAGCTGGTACAAATGTCAAAATTAGCACTTCACTGGTTTGGCAATGAAATTCCATGGAATTCTATCTTATCCAATCTATAGAGTACAGGGAAAATTAGGAAAGTTGTGAAACAAAATTTGGTTAACGGACTTAATTTGTTAAGCAGTTATAAGAATTCACACTAGATACTCATTGGACCATCTGTATAAAAAGAACAATTATGCTCACATCTTTGATTGAAATTGTATGGAAATAATGTTTTCTAAAACATTTGTCCCAAAGTTCCTCCAGCACATACGCTTCAAAACAACTTTTTTTATTTGAGATGGAGTTTCACTCCTCTTACCCAGGATGGAGTGCAATGGTGTGATCTCGGCTCACTCCAACCTCCACCTCCTGGGTTCGAGCGATTCTCCTGCCTCCGCCTCCTGAATATCTGGGATTACAGGAATGTGCCACCACACCAAGCTAATTTTGTAATTTTTAGTAGAGACAGAGTCTCTCCATGTTGGTCAGACTGGTCTCGAACACCTGACCTCAGGTGATCCACCTATCTTGGCCTCCCCAAGTACTGGCTTTACAGGAATGAACCAACACACCCGGCCACATTACAACTTTTAATTAATTAACACAGTATTCACCCATGGAGGACATATGAAAATAGCCAATGAAATTCCTGTAAAAATCTAAGACTTTGAAATACATTCCTATCACTTCTAAAAATGTGTGCTCCAACATGTAGTTGAAACTAGCACTGAGACATGTAACAGCTTGCTTGGTTGATGGAAAAACAAAAAAGAAACAACTGTTTCAGTCCTACTGACTGGGTTGGCAATCAAATGAAAATATACTGCAAGATTTCATATAAGATATTTATTCTTTAATTTCCATGTAATTACTTCACTTAAAAGAAAATGAGAAGTGACAAAACCCACCATTAAAGAGGTGGGACTAGGCTTCATGTTTCAATAAAAAAACACAGGAAGCCTAAGTAGCAATGGGACGGTGTTCTTGACCACCCAGCAGTGCCTCCAGGTCAGCAGAAGAGGCGGGCCTAACCTCCCAGTGTAAACAAATAGACACAGGAAGCTTACCTAGTAACCTAAAGGGGTCCCTAGAAACCCAGTGGTGCCTAGACAGGCAGACAAGCAACCTCATCAAGCAGCTCCCTAAGATCACAGCCAGGTAAATCCATTAAGATGGAAAAAAAAAAACAGCACAAAAAAGATGAAACCATCAAAGACCAGAGCACCTCTTCTCCTTCAGGGGATCATAACTCCTCAACAACATGGGTACCCAACATGACTGAGAAAGAGTGTAACGAATTGACAGCAATAGGCTTCAGAAGGTGGATAATAACAAACTTTTCTGAGCTAAAGGAAAATGTTCTAACTCAATGCAAAGAAACCAAAGCCTTGAAAAAAGGTTAGATGAAATGCTAACTAGAATAACCAGCTTAGAGAAGAACATAAATGACTTGATGGAGTTGAAAAACACAGCACAAGAACTATGTGAAGCAAATACAAGTTTTAATAGCCGAATCGATCAAGTAGAATAAAAGATATCAGAGATTGAAGATCAACTCAATGACATAAAAAGAGAAGGCAATACAAGAGAAAATAGAGTGAAAAGAAATGAACAAACCCTTCAAGAAATATGGGATTATGTGAAAAGACCTAATCTACACTTGATCGATGTACTTGAATATGATTGGCAGAATGAATCCAAGCCGGAAAACCCCTTCCAGAATATTATCCAGGAGAACTTCCCAAGCCTAGCAAGGCAGTCCAACATTCAAATCCAAGAAATACAGAGAACTCCACAACGATATTCCTCAGGAAGAGCAACCCCAAGGCACCTAATTGTCAGATTCACCAGGGTTGAAATGAAGGAAAAAATGCTAAGGGCAGCCAGAGAGAAAGGTCAGGTCACCCACAGATGGAAGCCAATCAGACTCAGAGTGGATCTCTCAGCAGAAACCCTACAAGCTAGAAGAGAGTGGGGGCCAATATTCAACATGCTTAAAGAAAAAAAAGGATGAGTTCATTTCCTTTGTAGGGACTTGGATGAATCTGGAAACCATCATTCTCGGCAAATTGATGCAAGAAGAGAAAACCATACGTGGCATGTTCTCACTCATAGGTGAGTGTTGAACAATGAGAACACGTGGACTCAGGGAGAGGAGCATCACACACTGGGGGCTGTTGGGGGGGCTAGAGGAGGGACAGCAGAGGGTGGGAAGTATGGGGAGGGATAACATGGGGAGAAATGCTGGATATAGTATGTACCTATACAGCAACCCTGCATGACCTGCACATGTACCCCAGAACCTAAAAAAAATAAAGAAATAAATAAATAAAAGAACTTTCAACCCAGAATCTCAT